TTTCTTTTCTTTTCTTTTCTTTTCTTTTCTTTTCTTTTTTAAGATTTATTTATTTGAAGGGTACCTGGGTGGCTCAGTGGGTTAAGCCTCTGCCCTTTGGCTCGGGTCGTGATCTCGGGGTCCTGGGATCGAGCCCCGCATCGGGCTCTCTGCTCAGCAGGGAGTCTGCTTTCCCCTCTCTCTCTGCCTACATGTGATCTCTCTGTCAAATAAATAAATAAAATCTTAAAAAGAAAAAAAAGATTTAGTTATTTGAGAGAGAGCACAGGCAGGGGGAAGGCCAGAGGGAGAGGGAGACCAGCAGATTCCCCACAGAGCAGGGAGCCCAGCTCAGGGCTTGGTCCCAGGACCCTGAAATCACAACCTGAGCCCAAATCAAGAGTCATCGGCTCAACCGGCTGTGCCACCCAGGTGCCCCCTAGGCGAGCTCTTGTCTGGGTCCTACAAAGTCTTTTCCTTCCTTTCCTTCCTTCTCTTCTAGGGTATTCGCTTTGATCCTGAGAACCCGCAGACCCTGAGGCTAGAGTTTGCCAAAGCCAACACCAAGATGGCCAAGAACAAGCTAATGGCTACACCTAATCCCACCAATGCTCACCCCGCCCTAGGAGCACACTTTATCGCACGGGACCCCTGTGAGTAGTGCTCAGAGCTGTCGTCTGTCATCTGCTGTCCTTTTACTTGGCTCAAGCTGGGGACCCGAGCAGAGTTGCATATGGAGGGGAGACATCAAGATCGTCATTGAGGGGTCCTCGCCAGGAGGCTTCTTCTGTCCACAGCCACCTCTCGCTAGGGTTCCTTCCTCCCCTGTAGCCTTTGTTGGACTGCACACGGACTGAGCTCCTGAGCTGTCTGTATCACCAACTCTCCCCTGAAGCGGTCTCTGGGTTCTCTTGGTTGAGGTGGGCAGGGGCCCATCTTAGGGCTTCTTGAAGCAGCGAGGATGCTCGCCATGCCAGGTCAAGCTGACAGGGCTTGTTTCCCTGGTCTTGGGGTCCTTGAGGGAAGTCTGGCCTCAGCGGGCACTTAGCACTTCAACCATTCTCTCTTTGGAATGGAGCAGTGGAAGGGGAGACCCATGCTCTGACCGTGGGGTCTGTTTTCTTCCGTTGCAGATGACCTTATGGGGGCTGCTCTGATCCCTGCGTCCCCAGAGGCCTGGGCTCCCTACCCTCTGTATACCACAGAGCTGACCCCCGCCATCTCACCTGCTGCATTCACCTACCCAGCTGCCACTGCCGCCGCCGCCCTCCACGCTCAGGTAAGCCCTTCTGGGGGAGGGGCAGTAGCTCCGATCTAGCCAGACTTTGTTCCTGGGTGGCCCCTGGGCCACTCATGCTGCCAGAGCCACAGCAGGACTGCTTTCTTCCATGATCTTCTCTTTAGGGTTTGGGATCAGGCAGAGGGGAGGGAGAGGATTAGCCGAGAGGCCACATCGAGGATCTGCGGCCAAATATGTGAGCTGAGAGAGACCCAGTGTGGTCCTACCACCCCCTGAGCCCCTCAGACGGGCTCCGTACTGCGTTTTGCCTGTGGTGACAGAGCGCAAGTGCCGGTCCCAGCCTGAGTGTGGCCTCCAGAGCCAGGCTGCCTGCCTCTGCCTCTCCCGTCTTCATAAACTTCAGAAAGCTTTTCAAGATTTGTGTCTTGGCTTTTTTACTGTCGGGCAGAATGAGAACAGTATTCTCTACCTCAGGGCTGTTGCCAGAGTTTCACGGTAACAGCACATAAGCGCTAGCGCGGCAGCGGGAGCGTCCCGAGGGCTGCGTGTGCGCTGGTTTTCACGAAGCCTGGACACTCTGCTTGGTGGCCCTGCGCTGGGGTGGGAAGCCGGGGATGAGCCTCTCTCAGGGAGGGCTGGGGAGGGCCCTGGGCACTGTGGGACTCTGTGCTCCTGAGTGCCGTTCCGTAGTGGGTACCTGAAAGGCCAGTGACCCGCCGTCCATCCTGGCCTGAGCCTTCCTGAGGCGGTGGTGGCAGGACACACCGCCGGGTGTAGGGACTGGGTGCCACCAGCGGCACAGTGAGGTTGAGGAGCAACGGCAAGCCCACTATGGCCTGTGGTCGGTAGACTGTGGGAAGAGCAACTGGGCCAGGCCCATTCTGCTGCTGACGGAGGTAGCCCAGCCAGGACAGGAGGGCAGGAGGAGGAGCAGGACATAAGAAGCCAGGACAAGGGAGTTCACAGGAACCAGAAGCTGAGGTGGGAGAGGTTGGGTGCTCTGCGCAAGGGAAGGCTGAGTGCGTGTCTGTCTCCAGTCCTCTGAAGAGCTCTGTGACATCTGGGTCCACCCAGTCCCAAGGTAGAAGGTATGGACTTCCCGGCTACTACCTTCACAGGCTGTTTCCTTCAGCCGGGGGATTCTTGGCGGTGACTGCTTTAGATCATACTGAGGGCAGAAGCGTGGTTAAACTTGGCACTGTTCCCCAGCTGAGTACCACAGACAGTTGGAAAATTGATCAGGGGATAGGAAGGTGGTAAAGATCCTTCCCTCAAGGGAAATGTTCGGGTATTTATCACAAGCCAGGTATTGCGGCGAGCAAGAATTTTGAGCCCGGAAGACAGTCCTTGTCCTCTGTGACCTGGCAGTGTGGGGAAGGTGGGCCGGAGTGCTCCTGGCCAAGAAGGGACTCTCACTGCAGCAGCCCTGCGAGGCCTTGCTGGCCTCTTTGCCTGTGATCCCAGCTTTGCCACCATTTAGCTCCATGATCTTTTGCAAGTGACTTTACCTCAGGGCCTCTGTGTGTGTCCTCATCTGTAAAATGAGAGGGCAAGACCAGATCAGGTGGAGAGGATCTCCCCCTTCTGCTCTGAGATGCTCTGCCATGACAGTGGTAAGGCAGCGGCTGGGAGCAAGACAGTGTGTCAGGTTAATACAGGGAGACGCCTCTGCCCTTTCTTTGGGCGGCTCCCCAGCTGGCTGGGAGTGGCACGTGACAACCTGTCCTTAAACGCCATACTGCAGGGCACGGTGCGCTCCAGTCATCTTCTTTTCCAGCTTCCTCCCACCCTATCCATGCCCAGGGGCTGTCCAACTGGTTTGACTGCCTCAGTCCAAATCCTGGCTCTTTCAACCCCTGTATGACCTTGGGCAAGTTACTTAACCTCTCTGTGTCTCCATTTCTTTGGAATGGTGATAATCATGCCTACTTTATCAGTGTTTGTTTTTCGCATGTTAGTGTAGAGGGAGAGCTAGAGAAGGGCCAGTTATCACAGTTACTATTTGCTGTCATTATTGTCTCACGCCCCTTGGGTCCTCCCTGAGGCTGGAGGTCTAAGTGGTTGTCGGTTCCTGTTTCTGGCCTCCCCCGGAAGGGAATAAAGGCTACCTCAAAGGATAAAGGCATTTTTTCAGGAGGAAGGCTAACAACAAGAAATCAGACCAGGGAGTGACTTGTTCTGTCCCTGCTACTCTGACTTCTCTGGAAGTCAGTCTCCAGAGCAGGAAACCACCATGTCTGGACCAAACGCAGTCATAAAAATGAGAGTATTTTCCAAGTAGAAGCATTTGTGCTTTTACCTTCCAAGAGTTCCCTTGTTCCCTGACAGTGCAGCCCAGACATGGGGGCCGTAAATCCTCAATAAGGAAAGTGGACGCTGTTGATCTGAGGGCATTATTCTGAACCTGGAGGAATAACAACTAACTTTCTGTGCTTGTGGGCAAGGAGGGGACTTGGAAAGAAGGTAGTAGCAAAAGGGGATGAAAAGCAGTCCTTCCTTGCCCTATCCCAGCATGTACATCCCAACTGCACGCCTTCTGCCACTAGCCCAGCCTCGGCTGAGGCATCCGTTTATGGCCACGGGGCCCAGACCTGCAGGAAGGGGCTTGGGGAGGGTTCAGTTGCACTCTGCCTTGGCATGAGGCCATTTTGTTCGACCCTCTGGTTCTCTTAATAGAATCTTCCCCTTTAAAAGGGTGAGGCATCCAAGAAGTATGGGTGGCAGGGGCACACCAGGGTCTGGCACAAGCCTGAAAGCAGGGGTTCTCTATGTCCCCTTGTGTCCCAGGGTCTTCTCAGACTGGGCTTCATTTTCTACTTCCACCTGAGGATGTGGGGGTCTTTGACCATGGCTCTTACACTGGCTCACTGCTTACTGGTGACCTTAACATTAAATGAACTCCCTTGCCTCTATTTTCTGATCTGTGTAATGGGCATGATAAGGTTCTCTACTATCCTGCTTCCCCCAAAATGGCTACTTTGAGTCCTTAGGATTGGTGGCTGGTTGGGTGCACGTGTATAAGACTATAGCTGTGGGTCTTTTTTTTTTTTTTTTTTTTAAATAAAAGTTATACATTTAATCTTTTAAAGCTTAAGTATGAGGCCCTTGTTTCCTGTCGGTAAATGTAGATCTACATTCCGGCTGTCTGGCAAACCCACCATCATATAAGTGTGTCCAGGTCCCCATGGATGGAACATGAGGCTGTTCACGCAGTTTTCTGTGCTGACAGGACGTGCTGCGGCAGACACCCTTGTCTACCCCGTGCGCCTGTCCTGCTGGTATCCTTATTGTAAACTGCTAGAACTATGACAAGGTCAAAGTGTAGACATGCCAGCCTGAGTGCTCCTTTAATTGGCTTTCTGATGAGTGAGGCGCCCGTATTTCTTGGCTGTTCCTGTTTCTTCTCATGTGGATTGAGTCCTCTGTCTACCTCTTGGTTATATCTTCTTAGTCCGTCCCAAGATCTGAGAGACGACTGAGTTCATGTGCCCCCTCCATGTGCCCTTTTCCCCCTTCGTTTTGATGTTGTCCCTCTTGGAGCTGGGTCCTTCTAGATGCCCACGGGCCTGTCCATGTGGGGTGGCTTCTCAGGACCCACAGAATCCCTGTGAACAACCAGAGGCCCTGGGAGTGGGCCGAGCACTCACTCCCTGAGGTGCTGGCCCTGATCGCTGTGCCTTACGGGTCTCGAGTTCTAAGCAGGGACAGGAAGGGATGGTGCTTCTCTAGAGCCCCAACTGCCAGCCTGTCCCCGGTGTCTTAGAAAGGCAGCCCCTCAAGGATGTTCTGTCCACTTGGATGGTGCTTCCCTCCCAAACTCAGAAATGGGGGTTGGCTTCTACTTCCTCCCCAAGGAGGTGGTGGCCCGTCTCAGGCTGGGGGGAGAGCTGCTGCTTTGGAGGCTGAGTCGCAGCACCTAGTGGGGTGAGGGGGACCCCATGAGGCAGGTCTTGCCAATGGAGCCGCTTACGCAGCTGCGGGATGCCTTGGCTTCTTCCCTTGTTATAAGAGAGACTCAGAGGCCTCCGAGTCCTCATTAATCAACATTTGTCCCTTGTCCAGCCCTGCAAGGCTCCCAGCCTGGCCAGACTTCTTGCCACAGGGCTGCAGCAGCCGGAGGCCGGGTGAGGGGTGGTGGTCCAGGCCCCCCCGGGGGTGTTTCACAGGCTTGGCTGATAGTCACCATGCTGGTTTCTTCCGTGTCCCTGTCTTGTGGGATGAGCTCTGTGCCCAGCCACCGGTCCAGCCTAGAGTATAATCCACAGCTCACCCGAGGGGAGGAGAAGCATCCCCCCACTTGGCTGTCAGCCAGCAGGGGAGGGAACTGCTTCCAGATGTTGTAGAGGCAGGGGAAGGCAGGGGAGAAGATAGTGGCCTCTGAGGCTGAACAGCTCAGAGGTAAGAAGAGGCACTTGACCCTTTTCTGTGCTGTATGGCTCTTAGTCAAGGTGGTTCCTGCGGCACGGGGTCAGCTGGTGACAGCAGTGTCTCATCCCCGGAGCCCAGGGAAGGTCCTGGTATTGGTCAGGTGACCTAGGATCTGCTGCTGCTATGTGCCAAGTGTCCTGGCATTTTAGGGTAACCAGCTTGTGCTAGGGAGCATGTGGTGACCAGGGTCTTGGGGTGTGCAAAATACCTATAACTTGAAGGAGATGCAGAAGTTCTTAGGAAGCGTCCACTGGCCCCCAGGTGACCTGGCATTGCCCGTGATCTTCTTGCTTAGAGGCGGGATTCCGGGCAGCCGAGTGGGAAACTGAGGCCACCACTGCAGCGCTGAGCGGGGGATCTGTGAGGCCAGCTGCAATTTGTTTTCTACACTGGTTCTTGCATCCCATCCCTTCCTTTTCCTGAGTGGACCCCGGGCCCCCTTCTCTGGGCACTCTGCCCTTTGCCCCTGACTTGTCTTGGGATGCCATGTTTCCCCAGCAGTCTGAGGCAGCCGCGGGGAGGCCGGGGCAGGTGGTGCTGTGTGTACCTGGGGCAGTCCTGGCTTGGCACCCAGTGTAGCTCAGTGCCCAGATGCTGGGCCTGTGGGGAGG